GGTGCCGCGCTTGCCGGCTTTTACGCCCCACCCCACCTCGCCACTCCGTGGAAAAGTTCGCTTGCTTAACTTCAGGGTGTGCGTAGCGGAACGGGTGACGTGTAAAGTTTTTTTTTTTTGTTGGTTGGTTTGAAAAACTGCTTATCGCTTTTCCTCTGGTTTGATAGCTAACCGCACTGGCGTTAGTTTTAATTTTGCTTTCAAAGAACAACAACAAAAAAAAGTGCTTAGAAGTGTTTGTAGGAGTTTTAGTTGGAAATGTAGCTGATCATGGCGAGGTGACCAGCTCGCAGGGGGTGTTAACAGCGTTGTGTCTTGCTCAGAAGTCAAAATGAGGAAATGGAGGAGGGAAAAAAGAACAGCCGAAGTGCGCTGGCACAGAAAGCCTTCAGGCCCTTAAAAGAAAAGTGAATTGGAGAGGAAAAAAATAAAAAACAACTCGTCTAAATGGAAGGATCAAGAGGTTTGCTAAGCTGGAATTGCAGCCTACCCCAAATTGGAAATCTATTGTGAGAGCAACCAATAAAAAGCACCATAAACTAAGGTCTCATGTACATTAGAAAATCAATCGGTTCTTCTGCAGTTTGATTGTTCTGCACAAAGAGAACATTCGTGCTCTAGAAACCTCGACTGATGTGTTTCTTTTTGTGCCACACCAAAGTAAATCACAACAACGTGAAGCTGCTGTCCCTCTGATGCTTAGCTCTGTGAGACAGCAGCTGATAGGCATCCTCAGTTTGCCAGACAAGTCACATTTCTCTTCCCCTGCTATTCCACTAAATACTTTACTTTTTCATTCTGTTCCAGTTAAAATTTTCAGTGCTGTAGCAGAGATGCCCCCCTGCTGTCTTGTGTGTTGCAGCTGGTTTATGTTGTTTGCACCCTCCTTTTCCTGCCCCCTTCCATAAAAACAGCTTTGCACTTTACTTCTTAACCATTGTTTTACTGATTCTTTTCCACAGAGGGGGTTGCCAGTCATTGGTCATCACCATAATTTTCTACGTAACTCATTTAGTCCTAGACTTTAGACAGACTTGCAGGTGGAGTATGCCGTGCTCTGTTTCATCAGGTGCAGAAGCTGAAGTGACTTAATTCTACATCAGGCTGCCCAGTGGTCAAGGGAAATACAGCTGCGGGCTCATGAGATGTTTTGTACACATGTATCTATATGATTGTCTTTCAGTATAGAAGAACCAGAATAGCTTGTGGTATGTACGCATGCCTTATTAATCAGTTGCTCCTCCAGGCTTGCTCTTACACTTACAGGAGGGGAGAGAAGATCCATCCCCTAAAGACAGGGCTTGAGAGGAAAGCAGGCATCAATCTCTGTGGTCTTCTTGTAACTGACAAACAAGTTCTCGTGGCAATAGGAAGTTATCCATGATCCAGACCTGTGTGGGTAAGGTCTTGAGTATGGATTGGATAATTGGGGATCAGACACTGTGCAGGGAAGGGTATCAAATTTATGTAGTGTGAAAAAGCCACTGGACTGCAAGTGAGGGTTCTTGTTAGAAAACCAGACTGTGTTGCAGTCTGTTTGGAAAACGCACTAGTCATTTGTCAAGCATATAGCATGTATGTCATATAGTCTGCACCAGTAATAGACCAAAAACTCCATATTGAGATGCAAACAAAATTTCCTTTCCTCAGAGCTGAAATGGAGATCTTCTTGGAACAGGGACTGTAGCTGAGATGGAGGACATCGTATCTTTTGGTGCTTTGGTTTTGTGTTCTTTAAACTGGGCAGACCTGATCCCTCCCTGCTGGACATACAGAGAAGTGCAAAATGTGTCTCTATCTGGCATATTGAAGTGTGGGGATAGCGGGGTATTCCACTGGTGAAAATAAAGCTACTGTTCTGGCTTTTCAGGGTTTGTTTGCTGAGCTCTCTTGATTGTCACTCAATGCTCCTGAATATGATCCTGGATATGCACGTGTCCCACATCATTGTGGTGTTTCAGTGCTTGGCAAACTTTTATTGTTGCTGAGGAAGGAGGATTCTTCCTTAGAGCTACTGATGATACAAAAAGTATTCTTTCACAGCGGAGGGGCATATATATATGATATGGTCCAGAACATTGCTGCAGTAACTGTTGGACCAGAGGCCTGCACTTGCCTGTTGCCAGTTAATCTGAACAGTATCATGTGGCTAAAGTATAAATATCAAGATACTACTGTAAACACTTTCCTTAAAAAGTAGAAATCTGTCTCTTTAAGTTTTCTGTCATCTTCTGTTTGTCATGAAGAGGAGGTAAGCCAAAATGCTTCTAAAATAACCAAATTGTTTACTGGGATAGACTGTCTTACAGCATTTATTGTATAGAATGGCCTATGACAAGTTGCACACAGAGGCGCAAAGGAGTGTTAGTAGACTTAAATCTGAAGTCTGAAGTTGACCTAACATAAAAATATTCGTCCTAACTGTTTGGTTTTAGTATTTCAATAGAAATACTCAGTTCAAGTACTTACTGTCGTGTTTTAGCCCCAGCTGGCAACTGAACACCATGCAGCCGTTTGCTCACCCTCTCCCCTGTGGCCTGAGGGAGAGAATTGGGAGACTAAAAGTAAGAAAACTCATGAGTTGAGATGATAATAGTTTAATAATTGAAATGTAATAATAATAATAAATTGTAATGGAAAGGAAAACAACAAGGGAGAAAGAGACAAAACCCAGGATAAACAAGTGGTGCAATTGCTCACCACCCCCTAACCGATGCCCAGCCTGTCCCAAGCAGCGATTGCTGCCCCCGCCCCCAGCCAATTCCCCCCAGTTTATATACTGACCATGACGTCATATGGTCTGGAATAGCCCTGTGGCCAGTTGGGGTCAGCTGTCCTGGCTGTGCCCCCTCCCAGCTTCTTGTGCACCTGGCAGAGTGTGGGAAGCTGGAAAAGTCCATGACTTAGTGTAAGCCCTACTTAGCAACAACTAAACCACCAGTATGTGATTGACATTCTTTTCATCCTAAATCCAAAACACAGTGCTATGCCAGCTACTAGGAAGAAAAGTAATTCTATCCCAGCCGAAACCAGGACACTTGCTATCCAAAAGTTCTGAGCATCACTTGGTGTCAAAAGCCAATGTGTCTTATTCTCCTGCTAAAGCTGCTACCTTTAGCAATTCTATGATTTATTAATTAACTTTCGGTGACAAATAGAATCTGCAATTCAGTTAGTGAACATAGTGTTTTCTTGACTTCTTAGTGTTGTGGTTTGGTGAGACACATGCTATCAGTATTGAAAATAACTCAGTAGTTCAAAACTTTTATCATGATGACATCTTAAACCTGAGTAAGTGAGAAGTTTGACTGTTAGAAGATCAATAAAGATTAAATATTCATTGAAATAAAGTTCTCTTACTATAAACAAGGTGCAATAGGTTTCATGCGCCATGTGCAAATAGTATGTTTCTTACTAGTTAATACATTGTATGTATGCAATGCAGTGAAAAAAAAAATAGAGGCTGTAAAAATACAACTTTGGTCTGCTTCTATCAGGTAACTGTAAACATTCAGGACAAAATAAGTGAGGAGAGGAGGAGCTTTTTTTTAACTCCATTATATAGATTACTATTAAGTAGAACATACCCATAAGAAACAGTTTTCTTCCTGTTTTTGACTAACCTGAAACTGTTCTTGAATAAGATTTAACAACAAATAATATGAGATCAGGGCTAGCTTTTTCTGTGAGTATTGAATCCTGATTAAAGAGGGAAATATAACTTGCCTATTTGATATGCATTGCTTTTAAAAAGCCTTTTGGTTAGTTAGATCACTTCAAATAAGTCAGAGTGGATCTTGTGTTCTGAGGATGGAAACTTTGTGCTCATTCTGTTAAGTATCTCAATAACTGAATCATGAAAAGATCTTGTGTACCTGAGATGAGTCAGTCTAAACCTGCCTGGATGATGTTCTGTGTAACATGCTCTAGATGAACCTGCTTTAGCAGGAGGGTTGGACTAGATGTTCTCCCGAGGTCCCTTCCAACCCTTGCCATTCTGTGATTCTGTAGAGGGATGAAAAGTCTAACCACCTTCCAACTTTTAAGAAAGCCTGGAGAGATAATTAGTAACACAGAATCCATGTTAATTGCATGCATTAGAGTGCAGCTATTACTGCCTACAGTTAATTGTAGGTGGACAGAAGATTTTCATCTCTATTAACTGCATTTTGAACAAAATTTACCTGCATATGATATTAAAATATAATAACATTTGGTTTTTGGAATTTCAGCAATAAAACTATTGCTGTATCTAAACTTACAGGTGAACCGTATGAGTAATGTCAGTAGATATCAATTGATAAGTACAGTATTGAAGCAGATGGCAAAATTTATAACACGCATTTTCAACTTTACTGATTTGCATCTTTAAACTGTATTCCTGCCAAGCAAAATACATTTGTAATTTATTAGACTTTTTTCCTGCAGATCTGGCTTATGCATTCTGTTGAGCTATTCATCAGAAAACTCGGCAGGGCTGCAAACCCATTTTTTTTTGCTGAGATTTGCAAGCCTGTTTTGCAGAGAGCTGATCTAAGGTGGTGATTTCATTAAGATACTCATTCCCCAATTCTCTGTGCCGAAGACTTTTCCAAATTCATTAGAGCTAAAAACTTGCTTTCAACAGCTGCCAGAGATGTTCTTGGAGTCTTAAATTGATCCAGTTTTGCCTTGGCATATCCTGTTCAACCAGTCATGGAAAGCTTGTATATAGACTGCCGTTTGTGAAATTCTTGGAGGAGACTCCAGCCCTAATATTCAAACTTGATGCATCCGCTAGCTCACTGGCACAACTTGTTTCTTTCCCCATCTGTTACAATGGCGCTATGCCCACTAAGATGGTGATATGCCAGTTTCAGTAGGATGTACAAGCCAGCAAAGATGAATGGTTTGGGTGAGTGATGACTCTACAAGATAGAATCTGAACCCTGCAGTACCAGGATAGGAACTAAATGTGGTATACGAATATGGGCATACTACTGCAGTGCACTTCTCCAGCTGAAATTGGTCAGATCTGATGGGAAGTGACACACAGTGAATATATTCTTATTGCTGTGCACTTGGCACATACAAAGATGCAAGCAATGAACTGTTGATTTGC